AGAGATTATGGCAAACCATCATCCGATTTTGAAGTCTAAAGTGGTGTCTGACGAAATCTCTGCACGGATTTGAAAAGCTCCTTTGGTTTTTGCCAAATTAGTTCACCCATGGTGAAGGCGAAATATCCATCTATCAATTAATGGACGAGCACACTGTGCTGCAGTTTGTCTCGTTATAATTTATAGTTGCAAAACGTCGCCATTAAGTGTAGAGGATACTCGTAAGTTACTGCCACTCAATTACAGACGTTTTAGGAATATTACTCTCATCTGCTGGAATCGCCAGGTAAGCGATAGTGAGGTTAGTCTCAGGGTATTAGGGAATGATGGTAAATCAGTTGATGAGATCGAATGAGATGGTTGGAGAACATACCACGCATGCCCAGCCACATTAGTGTTTTTCACCAATTCTTACAATTTGCATCATTACCATTATTGCCTGTAAAACTGTCGTTCAAAAAACATGACTTTTGGCATTCCGTTCCACTTTACGAACACACATAATATAAATCATTGATTGTCACTCACACACACTCTGCTGCACGCATAGGATATGTTGAGAAGTGCTGAATCTAAGCTGCTCAGTAGCTGTGTCAACTGAAAATAGCGAGGTCAGCATCAACGCCGGAGATTCGAGTGATTATTAATTTTGAAGATTTTTATTGCTACAGCTCAGTCTCATCTGTAAAGGTACAGCCTCATACGTGCCTACAAGAGGTTTAAACTAAACAAGCAAGCTACTGGTTAACATTCTTCTGATAAATTGCTGTGTTCAGGAGTAACTGTCCGTTTTTTCTAATATAGTGAGCCATGTTGTGCAACACAACAATAAAAAACGTAGAATGAAACGTTCGATTAATCGTATTCTTCGTCGGTTTTTAATCTATTCGAGTCGTCTTGAAAACAAAAATGTATGAATGTGAGAGCATTTCGTAATGAATTCCTGCCTGCATGAGGGAGCAAACGTGTGGAAGAATAGCATACATGCTCATATATATCATGCAACAGCGTGAAAATTCTTCGCACACAAATGTTCTTTTGATTTTCCATATGAAATAATATACTTAAGTATAAGCATATAAGAAAAAGCGTTTATTCTGCCACCATTATATGGAAAATTGAAAATGAAACCGGATGTTCATGAGACGTTAAAAGTAAGACAAGACAAGACAAGAACTTGTGCAGTGCTTCTGATGTAATAATCGTTCAACTCTTCCATAAACCTTACCATCATTCCGCAGCGTATTCTTCTGGACAGGTTGCCAGATTCTGGCATCGTCGTGCTCAAATATTTAGGATGGAATGGTAGTCGTAAGCCGTTAACCTACGATGTGATGTGTAAAACTGCTGGTTATACATGGCAATTTCGGTCAACTTTGGTATAGTTCGAGGTACTTATCAAACATCTGTTGATAGTGGGATCGAGTTAATTCATAACAGTGACTTGAAGTAACCTACACCCAGTAAAGAACTTACACAAACAGATAACTTAGTACTTCCGCCTCCTACTTCCGTTTGCGTGTGTTAATAAACAGACTGCGGCGTTGGAACATCTGCAACAACAAAAATCCAGTGAATGAGTTTTCGCGTATAACCACATTAATATACGCCCATTGCTTACCATATGTGGCAATCAATTTCACATTTATCTCCTGTAAGCTGAAGATCAAAACTCTTAGACGGTAATCGCTAATCGCATGAGGGACGATTAATTTCTGTGATAGCGTTGATATAATGGTAAACACTCGTCACTACGTCAGTGAATTATAACAGACGTTTCCATCCACCTGTTTTGGCTGTTGTTAACGCATGTTGGCAAGGAAGTTTGCTGAAAGGCTTTTTGCGACGAAAGATTTGGAGAACCTACCATAACTGATGTGTTATCAACAACAGCCAATGTTATCTGTCTTTTGGTCTAGAAACAGATCTTTTCCGCGACAGTCTTCTTTTGGGAGTTTTGGAGCTTCTACGATTATGTTAAATAATAAAACGACGGGTGAGTATTTCAGAGATCAGTGGTGTCATCCTTCCTCGTTTCTTTTGCAACACAGGCATTGGTGTTGCAAGTTATAGTGACCCCTAGAATGAGATCTGCAAACGGAGTAGGTGAGACGAGTGAGACGAGAACTGCTTACACCTGTGAGGGAAACTTAAATACTAAGCTTTTTTCAAACAGGCTCATATTGAAGCTTGATTGATCAATGAACTCCTGCATATGTAGCAACATCTCTGTTGCCGAGATGTGTTGCATTTCAATCTAGTGGAAGTTCTGATCTGGTCTTTGTTGGTCGGTCAGGTCTCTATGTTCAACGATGGTTTTTTAATGTGCAATAGGGTCTAAAAATATCACTAACAAACGTGCCATTGACAGACAATTTTTCAATAAGGAACAGACCCATAGTTTGTAGTTTAAATTACCGGAACAAGTCGGGTTCATCATCAAGGATGTCACAGTATCCGAGGCATGACGATGCAGTTGTCCGAAACATCTTTATAACCAAACAGTACCAAACCAGATGTCGGAAACGAAGAAGTTTGTATTTAAGTTTAGAAAGTTGGTAGTATGTCGAGAAACGTTTGGTATAATTGAATTTAGTTTCAACGGATTGGTTGCGCGGCGTACCTACTCGTGATTTGGTGTGGGCGCGTAACTTAGCGCCTTCGTCACGGGCGTGGCTAGCAGAACTAGTGAAGTCAGCATCAACATCGAGGACATACGTGACCATTTATCTTCGGGTCTTATTTCAAAATGACTTAAATACGGTGCACGATTTTGCCGCTAAAACCTTTCTGCCATGACTTCACTAAAAACATGATGATTGTTATCAGAAAGCGGTGTTGTGGAGAATGTGGCAATTTAATGACCGAATTCATGGGTCAGTCACTATTGACTAGCTTCAAGATGGATTTCCTGGAGTTCTGATGAGAAGCCGTGATCATAGAGGTTCAATCGGGTCTGCTGTGAGGTAGTAACTCATCGAAGACAATGGTGGATGGTAGCGCAATTTCGTGGATTGGTTGGGTGCTAGCTCAGTGGTCTAGATGTTAAACGCTCGTGCGCGAGATCGAAGGTTCTGGGTTCGAATCACTCGAGAGGGGTGGTGGTGAGGAATTTCATATCCAGATGAAACGGTCATCTATCGCTTCCAGGCCTTCCATGGTGGTCCAGCTCTAATCGAACCATGAATTCAACGATTAAATTGCCACGTTCTCCACAAAACCCCTTTCTGATAATAATTTATAACGTGCCCTGAACGCTTGTATTCAAATGTAAACTAAGTGACTAAGAGAAGAGGAAATATTTGAGCACTAGGAAGAGCTAGTAGTGCTTCATGATTAGTGGGGACGACCTGTGGTAAAGCCCAAGTGTTTTCAAACTGCTTCAGCAATGTATGTACTGTAGAGATACTCTTCTTGTCAGTTTGTAACAATTCCTCCAAAAACAGAATGGCTGTAGAACAAATTATTACTGTCTCACTAGCTTATTAGTAGCTCGTGAAAATTGGTGCGCTCTCAAAGACCAAAAGTTACCTATAGACACAGCCTGCATTGACTTTAGCAAAATCTTTGACCAAATTTCTCACAACCAGCTGTTGTATAAATTAAAAAATGTCGGGGTTGGAGGAAATTTTTAATGTAGATAAAGACTAACTGTTTGAGCGCCGACAAAGAGTACGGGTAAACTCTAAGTTGTCTAGCCGGGAAACTGTGATTAGCGAAGTGCTCCAGGGTACAGTATAACGTCTAGTGCTATTGAGCGTGTATGTATATGGGCTACCTTGTCTCCTATCGTCATTGGTTTTGTTATACGCTGACGATGTTAATATATAGAGAGCGATAAAAAGCGAAGGCGATGGCTTTTAGCTTCAAAATGATTCAGAGAAATTATTTAAATGGCTTCGAACTTGGCATTTGCCGATAAATACTTTCAAGTGCATTGTGATGCATATTGGTCACCAAGGTGCAGATACATACACAGTGAGTCCTAAACTTGCATATTGAATGCAAGCGGCTATTCTCCTCTTAAAAAGACGGTGAGCTTTTAGAAAATGTTCAAAAACCGCAACTAAGCTGATTCCGACGATGGAGAAGCTCTACGATGATGCTTGACCGGCTAAACTAAACATGTTTCCATGGCCATATCGATGAACCAAAGGAGACTTGATTGCTGTCTTTAGATTACTTAGTGATAAATCTGCATTTGATATGTCCTAACTTTTCCCGTCTTTCAAAAAGGAAATTACAAGGACTCTCCAACAAAGTTCACAAGCCCTAGATAAACTACTTTTCAGCTGACCATCGACTTTCCCAACGAATCATCAACGAATGGGACTCATTACCTTGATGATGTCACAGGTATTCAGTGTTTCACAACGCTTCTACCAGTAACACCTTCTAATATATTTCGTTCCCACCAAGAGAAATCAAAAGACAGAGTCGAGGAGATCGGAAGAGTATATTTGGCGGTGACCACTATATCGGAATTCTCTGATCTAATCTGGCTAGCGATTGCGGTTGATATTGAGCACGGCGTTACCACACGTGATCTGGTACGGATGCCTGACCGAGCGCCTTCAGCTAGATGAGTCCACTAAAACATATGGTCAGCATGCAATGTCGAAAACTTAGTGCTATATATTTTGAGGATTTATTTACCGCTACAACCTCAACACGTGATTGACGCTCCATCTGTCGACTGTCTCAAAAGAAGGTTCAATAAACTGAGAGACCACGATGGCCCAAACTAACACAGACCAACAAGCCCCCTGTCCTTTCCAAACTGAAATTGGAACTGATATTTTTTCCTTATGTATTCAAAGACATAAAACATTTGAAACGATGCTAAATTAGGGCGATGGAAAGGCTACAAAATAAACGATTATATACCTAATGAGCTGGATTGCCGAACCTTGTTCGTTTTGCAAGAATGGCTTCCGACATCGTTCACTGGTAAACAAATACTGTCGAATAGATATTTGGAAGCTGAACCTTCCGGATTTAAATTTTCGACACGCAGTCAAGGTCTTGCGTGTATTCATATGTTCACGCTACTATGCTTTTAAGGAGTGCTGTTGGATTTCTTCACGGATTGCTATACAAACCATATGGATTCTGGGTTTTATCGCCGGTTTTCATTATCTTGGAGATTTATGTGGCTTCATTATCATTGACAAAGTACCATGTATGTCGCTCTCAATAGTCTAATCAGTTTATAAAATTTCAGATACTGAAATTGACTGGGTTGCGTATATGCAACAAGTGAGCGGATTTATAAACGGAACTTTAGACTATGATAAGTTGGAAGGTCAAACTGGGCCTTGTGTGTAAGTCCTGGTTAGTGAAACATTTTTCTAGATATCCTGCCGGACATTTATATGTTTATACATTCCTGCACTGGCTTTCAGGTGGTGGGTCCCTGATCAGAAATGCTCAATTTGTATTCCTCGGGCTTTATATAACAACACTGGTACTGATTTTCAACATATACAGATTATCATCCCAGGTATTGACTTCTTCCTTATCAATTCACTGTAGATCCCTCCTTATGCCCTCTTTTTTATGTGCATTATGTCTTATCGTGTGCATTCAATATATCTCTTAAGGCTTTTCAACGACCCGGTGGCCATGCTCTTCCTTTACGCCTCTGTCAATGCACTTCTATACAACCGTTTTACGGTCGGTAGCATTTTGTTCAGGTTCGTTCGATTTCACGGACTCATATTTTTCTAATAAAGTCGGTCAAAAGCAGTTTACTATTGTCGTATGTGTTTGATACAAGGTTTTGAGAATGTTGAATTTTTGAAAGATTCGCCATAACTAAACAAAATATCACTGACCATAACAAATGTGTCCTACTCCGTCTTCAACTTGAGTGCTTCAGTTATATCGTTAATCATTATCATCATCTTTCGTTGATAGTATGAACATTTATGAATTAATAACATGTTGGATGGTGTTTTTTTACCTGGCCTAGATATAGATTAAAGTTTGTTATTACATTTCATTTTCCACTTGAATATAGTCAGTTTTTTAAAATAACCGTTCCTACTAAAGGTATGTATAAAAGTATCACAAGAAGCTTGTAGTGTCCACTGGTCTTTCGTGTTTCTAGCATAGTGAGACGTTCTTCAAGCAATAAAATGATTCATATATAGCAAAGAAATAGTCAATTATCTTCGTATGCTCAAAGTGGGGTGGGCCCACCCTCCCTCTCGAAATACTCTCACACGGCCACGCGTATACAGCCTCTGCCAGGGAAGTCCTACGCAATGCCTTCTCCTGGCGGGGGTGTTGCTTATAAAAGTGAGAAGACGAAAAGCGAATGTCCGGCGCTTTAACCGGATCCCAAACCAATGGTGCACATGAGCTCCAGTATCCTGAGGGAACAAATGGCGTATGAACCAATTTTCGGTCACCGGCTACCATGGGACTGCATCTCCTCACGATGCTCCACTGCCTTGTGGGTTAGACCTTCAGGTCAAAGGCTCGGGGTGTGGGCCCCTAAGATAACCACCTGCTTCGGTCTAGGCACCCGGGCAGTACACAACCCTCACACAAATCGAATCATTTATGTGGCGCATATGTATTTGGTGCCTCCTTGTACCAATGTTTATGTGTTTAAATAAATAAATGTGGACTTTCTCAGCACATTGTACATTTTTAACAGACTGTGGAAATCACCCGTTTTTACCACTCGTTTCAGGATCCAATGGAAATGAACTAAGAACTTAAAAGTGTCGGTTACATATCACAGTTTTTAACTTCGTAATAACTAAGGAAACAATGATTGACGTATGACTGTTGGTTGTGCTGCTCATCGAACAAAAACAGTGGTCGTCTAGTGTAATCGTACCAAAAAATTGAATTTAGAACCCTATGCTGATCATCGTGAAATTTAGTTTACGAATTTTTATACCTAAAATGCATCCAAAAGAAAAGACCTTAGATCTGTATGCTTATTGTCAACTAAACTCAGTGATCTGTACTCTTAGATCTCTACGCGCGGATAAATCTGATAGGTTTTTTTGCCTCAACAGGATTAATTCAATATCCTTAGTCAAATTTATAAGACTGCAATTGATCATCAGCAAGTACTGATCATGTACAGTGTTTTTAAATGTTTAGTTCTTTAGTGGCAATGCTTAGTTTCAGAAGGACTATACATCGAACCAAAAAGGAGCTGTGCGTCGTAATGGAATACTAAGTGCTTAGGTTTGACTATGTGTAATTATTCCTCTACTGACTTGGAGGATAACACCTCTGTAAGTGCTGACCAACATAGGGAAACATATTTCTAGTACCACATTTGTATTAAATAGTGACATTAGCATTACTTCGCTCTTACAAATTACATGCACTCGCGAAAAGATTGTAACAGAATTCTAGGGATTGTAAGAGCTAGACATTATTTCATATTAGTTGCTATTTGTTCACCTAGTTAGTTGTGTTTGATTATCTAATTTTTATTTTGTAGTGGTTTTCACATATGTTCTCTACAAAACATATTGTGACTCAGGCTTGTTGAGGATAATTGAACCGTTGCATTTCAGGTACTGTAACACTTTAATAAATTATAGCAATATATTTTGTAGTCAAGCATATGTACAGCATTTGAATAAAAGCGACTTTGCTTTGGGAAGTTGTAACTTTTTTTGGCTCGTATACCGCTTGAATTATACACAGATCTATCCATACACTTATACATGGTTGCTGAGCTGTATTTGTTAAAAGAATGGTATTCAGTGCTATGATGTAAGGTATTATCATTAGGTTTATGAGATTTCTGTTACATTCACCATCCATCGCCCCTTTCACTAGTATTTTTTTATTTCGAATAGTCTTGGTGTTTCGGTGAAAATGAATATATTATTGTTCCTTCCTGGTTTCCTAATTGTGTTGGTATGGCACAAGGGAATTTTGGAGACAATAGGTCACCTGTGTGAGTGTTTCATCGTTCAAGTGAGTTGTAGTGTTTTGTTTAATAACATCTATTTTCATTTGTATCGTCCTCATCTTATTTGTAAACATTGTTCGGAAACTACGGTCAAGATTTTCAGAACTGGTACACCGCATTGTGCTTGGCAGTAAGATGGTTAGGACAACATATAAAGCTGTTTTTTGTTGATGAAGTTACTTAAACGCTTTTTCAACATAATGTTCAGTTTTCTGTGGTGAAATTTTGGCGCTGATGCTTTTCATATTGTAGTTTGTTGTTCATTAACTACACACCAGGTTTGTTTTCTGTTAATCGATAGTCCGGACCTTGGAAGGTCAATAAGGTCTCACGCCAACAAATCAAGTGATCTAACAGATGGACTAAGAAATTTTACTCGAGTTTTTAGTTGAATCTAAATCATCTTTAGTTACTAGAAAGTAGAATAGGATTTCCACAACATTAAGAGTTTTTCGTCCATTTGTTAGTCATCAGATCTTACGATTTTTCCGAAGTCAATGTGGCCAGCTGTCATCGTTATACCTTTAATAATCTATATAGCTAGCTACTTAAATGAACACCTGAATATTATAACCTAGCATATTGAATAATCTATGCCACCATTTGATTTTTATAAATTTCTATGTATTTCAGCTGGCCGTAGGTACACCTTTTCTATTCCACAATGCATGGGCGTACGTTAGCAGTGCATTTAATTTCGGTCGTCAATTTATGTATATATGGACAGTTAACTGGAGATTTCTACCAGAAAGTGTATTTTTGGATAGGCGATTTCATATGATTCTACTAATCTTGCATTTATGTATGTTGTTCGTATTCTTCTGGAAGTTTATTCGGTAGGTTTATCCTCTTTTACATATTCAAAATACTAATCATGTATCTTTTCATAAAACTAAACATATTAGACGTGGATATTCTTATTGGTAATTCAATCCTACCTCTTTCAGCTGAATCGACTCTTTCCTTTTTTGTCAGAGAAAATGTATAAATCACTATGTCAGCTTTCTCATAAGTAGACGACTGATATTTATTGAAGTCAGGTCACTGTCGAAATTCCACGTTACTTGCTTTGTGGTTATTATAAAAATCACTTCATTATTAGTTCATTCAAGCACAAATATAAGTTAATCTTATTCTTAACTGGCTGCTATTTAACAATCACATATGCATTATTTGACTAAACAGTACAGATGACGTCATTTCCAGAATCGATCACAATGGCGTCGGTGTATACACTCTCTGTCTTCTCTTTAACTAAGATATTAAGATCACTTCACATCTTTCTTTCTACGAACTAATTCTTTCTTCCTATACTATATCCTTATTGCAATCTTTCTCCTATATATTACCACCTTTGACCTAACCACTCCTATGAATCCGGTGTTCATCTTGCTGTGCTAATGAGGTATGGCAACCTGGGCCGATGCATACATGTGCCTGGTCCTACGTTGTAGCTGACTGACTGACTGATTTCCAGAATATACAATATTTCGGCCCCCACACTAGAGAAATGAATACTGCAAAAAATCAAAGTCGAAAAAGTGTAGCACAATTAGTAAATGATTAGCTTAAACAATGGAAATAAACGGCACCTCTGAAAAATTCGACCATTACACCGTTTATATGGGGATCAAATGATTTCCTATTTTGGTAACTTTCAACTTGATCATTCTGATACTTTTCATTTTATTAAATGTATATAACATCCAAGATCAAAATAATTAGTAGCTTGGCTTTAACACATTCAACATAGGTTGATGATGAGAATGTTATTTTTCTGACTTGAACTTCATATCAAATCAAAATTTTAAAAGGTATCTAAGTGCTTAATATAAAAAGATATCTAAAATCGGTTGTACACTACCTTTTCTGGAAAAAACGAGTTTCGGAATTCGATGACAAGCAAACCCGAGTACCACTTGTGTAGCTGATTTATTGTAACATCTTTTATTATTATTTATTTATTTGGACACATGAATATTGGTACAAGAGAGCGCCAATATATATGCGCCACAGTAACATCTTTTAGATGTATTACTTACATTAGCCGCCTCTGTGTCGAAAAGCGGTGATTTATCAGCATATTTGCTATTACAGTGCAAGTTTTAACATGACGGGGACAGGTGCTTCTGTTTTTAGTGCTTTCTAGTCAACTTTCCTATAGCGATATATTCAAAAAATACGATTATTTTCATGGTATAAAGTATGGTTTCAGAAAAACTCCAAAAACATAGTAGTAAATTTCAGAGAATCATGCATACAAGCAACATATCAGTAACAGTACTTTTCACATATTCATGCTTTTCATTCTAAGTGTAAAGAATTCATAGTCAGTTGTGTTGCAGATATATTTTACAAAAACATAAATAGATTGGTCTTGTAGGCTAAGTTTCTTAAATAGTTACCTGCAAACATCCATATGTAATAATCAAGATTTGGAAGGATGTGTGCTAGAAACTAAATATTCCCTGGCTTATATATATATATATATATATATATATCAGAAGGGGTTTGTGGAGATTTTTAGAAATTTTCACAGATTGAAATCATGAGTCAGTTGAAGCTAGACCACCATTGAAAACCTGGAAGCACTGGACGGCCGTTTCGTCCTAGTATGGGACTCCTCAGCAGTGCGCATCCACGATCCCGCACCACGCGGGGCTCGAACCCAGGACCTACTGGCTTCGCGCGCGAGCACTTAACCATTAGACCACTGAGCCGGCATCCAACGGTGTTAATGTCTAACTTCAACCAATCCACAAAGTTGCGCCACCATATACCATTGTCTTCAGTGAGCTGATATCTCACAACAGACCTGGTTGTACTGACTCATGATTTCAATCTGTGAAAATTTCTAAAAATCTCCACAAACCCCTTCTGATAATAATCATCTGCTCACTAGTGACTGACTTCAAGAGATACTCCTGGAGTCCTAGTGGGAAGCCGTTACCAGTGGAGTACAACCAGGTCTGTTGTGATATATATATATATATATATATATATATATATATATATATATATATATATAAACTATCGTTGATGATGGTTATCCCGGAACTTTTAAGCTAGGTAAAACGCTTAGGTTTTGGTGCGGCGTAACTATCTGTTACGTTCAGTGATATATCTCTCATTTAAAATTATATTCGTTATAATATTATACTACAATATTTCATTATCACCTTTGTAGATCTCGTGGTGGGATGAAGAATTATTTCTGTATATTTGACCCTGAACGTGATTCAAAGTTGGATCCTGCAGGTAATATCTAGTGCGTCTTGTTTATCTGGGAATTTGAAGATACACATTCATGGTTTTTGCAATAATTGTGTTTTAAGCACGCTTTTATTATGACTAACTGCATAATATTTTATTGTAGTTGCCTACCGTTCCTAGTTTGGAGGCTTCTTCATCCTTCTTGTGACTTCTATAAACATTAGATCTATTCCTCGAGAACTAAGAACCAGATTTAAATGAAAAACACTCATTCCTATTTTGTCTTAATTTTTTACTGGAATCAATTGTAAAAAGCTACTAGTTTTTGAAATATGAGCTGATTCTGTAGCTTGAAGTGTGTGTTGTAATATAGTTAACTTACTTTTTATTTCAGTGAATGTTTCTTACTCCTCATCAATCCAATTGATATCAAAGGCTATCATTTTTCCTAGCGATAATCGATCCGCATCTGCCTGATAACCATCGGGTTATATATTCGAATACACTCAGCTTCTTTTGGCTAAGGCACCCTTGTTTTATCACTGACTCAAGATAAATTTAACTAACAGAAGCCTAGTAAGGGAATCGCTTAATTTGTCTTTTGTGTTTGTTTTTCGATGGGATAAGAAGTGAATGCGAGTGTAACGGCTATAATTTTCACTTGAAAAGTACAGATTCATGTTTTGAAATTCTCTAAATATTATGTAGGGTGAGGTTATATTAGTTCAATTTTCAGGTAGATGGGGGACATCTCTCATTGTTAGGATTTCTGGCAATTAGATTTTAATCTAGTTAAAAGCTGTCAATATTTATTGTCTCTTTTTTCTTCGGTTTTGATTCTTTTGATTAAAATCCAGCTGTTCTATATCCTATGTTCGTATGCAATTTTGTTGGTATTGTTATCAGCCGTTCGTTGCATTACCAATTCTACGTTTGGTATTTTCATACAATTCCATATTTATTGTGGTGTGTTAGACGTTTTTCCACTCCTGTGAAGTAAGCAATGACACTTTTAGCCGTGTTCTTCATTACTAATCTATACTTCTTATTCCCGATATTCTCTCACTTATATATTTCTGATAACTGTGGGTTTTTTAGTCTTTCTGTCAGTTAAAGGGACTGATTTCTTCAACACAGCTTTCAAAATAACTTCCTTAACGATTTTATCGACCAAGTTTACATCTCTATAAATCTCAAACCCATCATATTGTGACTTCGTAGACTTGCATTATGTCTAGTTCTAAATTCTAGAGCTCAGACCATCCTTCTTTCACTGCGGCCAAAATAGGTTGGGAGCAGACATCATCAGACAATGTCTCAATCATTCCAGTTAACTCAAGTTCATGACCACTATCTGATTTGTATCCCTTATGTAATGTCTTATCCGCACTCAGTGGTTCTGCCGAACTCAATCGATTTCCCAAGGAAACCGGTGGCTAAAAATCTATTACGTTGTGTTATCCACTATTAGGACTATGGACCTGAATCATATTTTCTAAAATCTTACAAGTACCTGCCATTAATATACATGATTGTTCAGCCGTAAAACAAGTCCAAAACAGTAAAATTTACCATAATATTTGTAGTTGGAAAGTAGACCGCTCAGAAGCTGTCATATAAGCTAATTACCATGAGTCTTTTTTAAACCAGCGCCAGGTTGCTTTTATTTATCGTCTGTTAAAACCGCCTGATTTTTCGAACAAATCCCTTATATATATATATATATATATATATATATATATATATATATATATATATATATATATATATATATAATTAACTACAGTGTTCTGTTTCAAATGCAATGATCTTTTCTATACACTTGTCTACTCCCTTGTGATTGTTCATTTTTTAGGCTATTAATTCTTGGTCTTATTGAAATCAGTTGGAACACTTATCCATCAACAATTTTGAGTAGTGGTTTACTAAATTTATGCCACTTAGCATTGCTAGTTGGATTAATTATGGAATTAGTGCCAATTAGATTAGCATCACTACATGTCAAAAAAGAAGTTGTAAATAACTCCGTCAGTACTCCTTCAAAAAGTCAACCACGCAAAAAAGCTTCCAAAAAATCATGGACTGGTGGGAAGCACAAACAAGCCTAAAGTGTTTCATTTTGGGGAGGACAAATCGTAAATTCTTAGTACGCTTCTTTTTGTCGACCAAATATGCCAAAGGTGTACTGTCAATTGACACTGAAACCGTTCTATATGTGCATGTGATTATGTAAAATAGTGTAGCTTTTTTTGCAAATAAATCCTGATAATTTTTTTGTGGTGCCTTTATTTTGACGCCAGTTGGGTCGGACGATAAGGTTCACCACTTTTGTGGTGTCAACTGATCTGACTCCAATCTGAATGAACGTATGAATATCCCATGAGTATATATTTTCCACTTAACTATGTATATTACCTAGGCCAACCCCATTTGTATGACAGCGGTAATAAGAAGCCAAATATGGGTGGCGTTGGATGCATTTATTCCCGGCATTCGTTTATCCTCTTTGATAGAGATTTGCTCTCTGAGCTGGATGGTTTGGTCGTAGAGCTTTCATCATTCTTCTGAACGACAGCAGCACAAACTTCAGGTAGAAGTCTGCCTGAAAGCTCCACAAAAAGAATTGCTGCACAATTTCGATTGTGGTATTTTTTAGATATTAAATAAACATAATAATTAAGGTAGTAAAGTTGAAATTATAGATCACCGACATGTCTTAAACTAAAGCTATTTCAGCGTTCTTCGTTTAGCTTGTTGTAAACAATCTTTAAATAGAGTGGATTGTATAAACCATTGGTCACCAAATATCTTGATTGAACTGATGTAAGTTTATTGAAGCGTAATTAGAATTTTACTTAAAGACATTTTTATTCTGTACCAGAATTGTGACTATAATTGTTAACTATATGAAAGTATGCTTTCAGAGAGCAAACGTGTTTATCCTTGTAAATGAATATAGAATTATTTCATCATGATTGAGAGGAGTTGTCATAAACATATTTCCGAATTCTCTTCATATAATAATTGATTTGTCCGATCCAATATACTGACTCAACTCTTTTCCTACTATACTGGAAAACAGTGTGGTGGAATATCCTTAATTAACTGGGCGTTACGTAGGAATGAAAGACAGTAAATTTATTTATACAGATTTTTTAAGTTTATTAAGACATTTTAAGGAATACGGCTTATACCTTAATATATTTTACGATTAATGGTCGTTTGTTTTTTATTAAAATAGTTGTCTATTTCCCGTTGAGATCGATCGGCCTTTTTTTAAGTTTAACGCCTATTTTCATTGTATTGTCGAAAATCATTTACCTTCGGTTGACCAGCAGAATGTTAGTAATAATTTTATATATTCTGAAAATAATAATTACAGAATTCACGCCAGTTTACAGGCATGATCAATTTGACATAAATAGTAACATTAGATGTAGAGAACAAACATGTGATATAAGTTAGTTTTAAGTATACTAGTTCAGTAATTGTTTAGGTAGTACATGTATTACAGCGACCTAATGCATCAGCCGGGAACTTTTAATTTTTCATAAATGGACAGCCTGTTGATTTGTGAATGGTGTAATTAAGGTCATTTCATGTGCCAGATCGAATTAATGATAAATATCTACAACTAGAGAAATTAAAACGAAAACAGAGAGCACGGAACAACAAAGCAGTAATTACCAAAATATATGAATCAGGTCTACCTAAATGCATGTGTCATGTGACAGTGATATACTGTTGATGTTATTCAATTTAGTTAAACTTGCTAGGGACGGTGTTAACATAAAGTGACAGCAAGTAGGTGGTTTTATTTAGGGAATACACTAGTAAAAATGACTAAACATTTAAAGTTCCTATAATATCACTTTTGAAATGAGATACACTTACAGGTGCTAGAACATTCAATGCATTTTCAGAGGAGCAGTATGCATCGATGCAGCGAACAAATAATGGGTGTGATTTTATCGTACGAATAGATTGTGGTAGGTTATTCCAAAGTCTAGAAAATTTACAGGTAAAGTAATTCATATAAAGAGATGATTTAGAATAAGTTTGTCTCACTAGTGACAAGGAATTACGGATGTCATAATGAGAAGTTTCTGCATATTGAATCACATGATTGGATGTAAAGGATAATTTATTTAGTAGTTTGAAGAAAAAGATAAGATTTAGTTTGAGTCTCCTCTTCCATAAAGGGTCTAGCCCAAGTTTATTATATCTAGAATTATAAGGTACAATCAGCTCTGTACTGATTCCAGCCTTAATTTATCTTTTATGCGCGCACTGCTAAGAATAAACGTGCAATATTCTAGAAATGGTCGAACACAAACTTTGTACATTAAAATACGTGACTCATTGTTATAAAGGTTTCGATTTATGTAACCTACAAGGTGTTGAGACTTAGAGGTCTGTTTCAATATCTGTTCTGTAAACGACAAGTCTTAGGAGTATCTAAGTCTACTACTGTATGTAACCATTTATGGTAAGGTCTAGGTCGAGTGATGTATAACCGAAGCATATCTATCCACATTTAGCCGTAATAAGCTCCAGTTGCCATTTTAAGCACCACTGTGCTACCTTGTTAAGCTCCATGCTGATGCAATTTTGCATACTGTTCAGCTCATGTGGAGAAAATGAATATACTACTTTAAGATCATCCGCACACAGAAGGGGCTTACCGACACAAAAGCTTTCACAAATATCACTGATAAACACTAAAGAGAGCAAAGGACCTAAGACATTACCTTGTATTACACCACTTCTAACAGGGACAGCGTTAGACAATGACGAGTCAATTTTAACTATTTGATGTCGATTGCTGAGAAAGGAATCAAACCAAGCAAGCAAAGGATTTTGAACCCCATAAGATGCGAGCTTACCTATAAGAAGTTGGTGGCTAACCATGTCAAAGGCTTTAGAAATGTCCAGATATAGCACTAAGACTAGATATCCGTGGCTACGTAGAGAATAGACTAAATTAAAGAAATCAAAATGACATGTCATGCAAGATCGATTTTTAAGAAATCCATGTTGAGTATCATTGATAAATTTTCCAGCAAGTAAATAGTTGGAAAGTTGATCACTTATGATTTTTTTCATAATCCTAGAGATGACTGGAGTAATATTTATCGGCCGATAATTGTTCATGTCAGTCTTATCTCCAGATTTGTAACGTGATATAATGTTCGCAGTTTTCCAACAGTAAGGGTAAGAACCTGTTTCCACAGAGAGAGTAAACAGCTGTAGAAGAAGTGGAATATCTGGACCAACATATTTGGATGGAATCCCGTCTACCCCATGACCTCTCGAAAGCTTAAGGGTATTTATAGCCTTATTAATTTTCATGCATGTGAAGGAGATAGATTTTTTTGAGTTGCTAGTCACGCACATAACTCTTGAAGCAGAGCCATTTATGATTCCTACACCATTCGCTAAAATAGTGAAAAGGTCTGCTATAGTTTTAGAGTCGTATATAAAAGTGCTGGATGCATGGTATATCAACATTTTGAGTTGCTTTAGCGCGTTTATTGAAAAGGAGAGTTAAGTTTTATACCTTTGAGTTAGTATTAAGTGCTAGTATCTCCTCATTATTGGCTTTTAACCTATGTTTCTCTTTAATTTGATTAAAAATTATTGTTATTTGTGCAACTTCCGTGAAGTCGTTTGACTTAAAATAACGATTCTGTAGACGTCTTAGCTTATTACGATATTTAGATGGTTTATATAATTCGTAAGGTTTATTAAACCTGTACGTTCTAAGAGGTACACAGGAATCTAAACAAGAGTTAACGGTCAGATAGAATTCGTTGATAGCATCCATGAGACGATTGCATAAAAAAGGTTATCCCAGTCTGAAAGTTTAATCAGTGAATTCAGGAGGTCCCAGTCAGCATGCTTATAGTCTCTATGTTGACAGGTTTTTTGAATGGGTCGATTATAAAAGGGATAGATAAGGAGAGCGCAAACTACTATCTTATGGTCACTGCCTTCAAATTCATCGTATACTTTTACAAATAGTGGGATAACATCTCTACTAAATATTAGATCGAGTATACTATCGCCTCTAGTTGGGGTACGAACCCACTGTGACCAGCAGTGCATGTTAATGGTTGCTGAGAACTCATCATTACATGATCGACAACTACCGGTACTCCAGTTAATCCCAGAATAATTGAAATTCCCAGTGTTCATGGTTTGTTGTGCTAAAAGAAAAACAAAACCTCATATACTTTACACAGTCAGACCATACAATTATTTATTGAATTTTTGTACATCATGTTAATCGTTTGAACCGGTGTTCAATGTTAGGATGTTGGAGTCAGCATTAAGCTCCGAACCTACGTTTTATGTTAGTTTGTATTCATTAATAAGGAGCATCTGTAATCTTGTGTAGATTCCTGCTTCTCAGATGAGTCGTCTACTGAACTTTTCGGGTCACAATTGAGATGTTTACACTGATTGATCGCTGAGTAATTACTAGTGTTTCTTATATTCCATAGTCTTTATTAAATTCTACCGATCAACTACTGTTAATCAGTATTTTAAGGTGATCTATCATCAAACAATTTCAGATATATATATATATATATAACTGATTCCCCAGTTCTATATGCTTTTTAAAAAAATGGTTAGTGAGTTATCTTACTACTTACTCATGTTGTAGTAGCGTGTTATTTTCACATAGAAATATGTTGCTGATTT